GGTTAAGTTCATTTCTTCTGGCTAGAAACTGGTACTTTTCGTATATGTACCGTTATACATTCCACGGTCGCGCAGCTGCTATTAGACAATAGATTTCCGTTTCCCGTTATGTGTAGTTCTTACGATCAGTGCCTTTTGTGTTGTGGTAAATGAAAGCTTTTTGTATCCTTACAGTTTCATTCCTCTATTAGATAGACTAAACATCGTGTGACAGTTTTTTCATCGTAATTCCTTTATACGCGGCACGAGAAGTGAGCTCTACACAAGACACACGATCTACGGTACTTTCATACTACGATACTTTTTTAAATGGAGTAATTGACTTATCAAACCCCTTGTCTGGCAAAAACGACCGATATCCTGCGATACGTATTAACGATATCAGAAACTGAAATGTAGTAGACCAAAATTCAACAGTACAAGTGAAAGTACTGAGTCTTTACCAACAGCGTTTTAGAACTGAACTCCTTTAGTCAGGTATTAGATTCCTGTGCGTATTCTGCTATGCATCAAGAGAATTTTATAACTTGAAAATGAGTTTTATTCCTGCACTTATTTTCCTCCTTCCATGGATAAAACGGTTTTTCTTCAGAGAAGCAATTCAGTGCAATCGAAGAACCACGTACTGCTGCGTTTTTCACTTAGGCCTTACTGGCGACTGCTAAACCGGCCTGTTTTCGGACCTAATACGACATTTTCTCGGTCGTGAATTCGTAGCCTTTGGAAATTCTTTCAACTGTCCCGATCTTCTGCAAATTTATTCTGTAGACGGAGCTGACTTACGTAAATTTCTAACGCCGCTACCTTAGATGCTCGGATTCACGCAATCATCTGATTTATGCGGCAGCTTATAAAGATTACCAGCTCCCTAACGTAATGTTGCAATATTGTTCGTAATGTGAGGTGACTCTAACAGACAAAATTATGCAAGATACATATAGCACTGCAGTTACTTAAATACTATGGAGCAATAACTTCCTTAAACTGAACTCGTAGGCAACTAGCAGGGAGAGTAAAGTGCAATGAGGTACGAAATCTAGTTTTAGACGACTT